AACTACAATCAACTACAAACGATTCTGGACCTGAATTCATAGAAATTGAAGCTGAAGCTGTAAAATGCTTCATATGAATTTAAAAAAAAACGCATTACGCACTTATTTTTCAACTAAAAGAAAAAAATGTTTAAACTACAATCAACTACAAACGATTCTGGACCTGAATTCATTAAAATTGAAGCTCTAACTATAAAAAGCTTCATATGAANATGAGTTTTTTAAAAAACGCATTACGCACTTATTTTTCAACAAAAAAAAATATTTTAACTACAATCAACTACAAACGATTCTGGACCTGAATTCATTAAAATTGAAGCTGTAGCTGTAAAAAGCTTCATATGAATTTTTTAAAAAACGCATTACGCACTTATTTTTCAACAAAAAAAACAATATTATAACTACAATCAACTTACAAACGATTCTGGACCTGAATTCATTAAAATTGAAACTCTAGCTGTAAAAAGCTTCATATGATTTTTTTTTAAAAACGCATTACGCACTTATTTTTGAACTAAAAAAATTTTCTTTTAACTACAATCTACTACAAACGATTCTGGAGCTGAATTCATTAAAATTGAAGCTCTAGCTGTAAAAAGCTTCATATGAATTTTTTAAAAAACGCATTACGCACTTATTTTTCAACTAAAAAAAAATGTTTTTAAACTACAATCAACTACAAACTATTTTGCACCTGAATTCATTAAAATTGAAGCTGTAGCTGTAAAAAGCTTCATATGAATTAAAAAAAAAACGCATTACGCACTTATTTTTCAACTAAAAAAAAATGTTTTTAAACTACAATCAACTACAAACTATTTTGCACCTGAATTCATTAAAATTGAAGCTGTAGCTGTAAAAAGCTTCATATGAATTTTTTAAAAAACGCATTACGCACTTATTTTTCAACTAAAAAAAAAAATTTTTAAACTACAATCAACTACAAACGATTCTGGACCTGAATTCATTAAAATTGAAGCTGTAGCTGTAAAAAGCTTTATATGAATTTTTTAAAAAACGCATTAAGCACTTATTTTTCCTCTACAAATAAAAAGAAACTTACTACAATCCTCCTGAGAGTTAAATCTATCATATTCTAGGTATTTTATCAAAATGCATCAAGGTCGGGTGCCAACTTCACGGAGCTATTTTTCCATCCATATTTTTCAATCTAAGTCAACATCTTCCCAATACATACTACATACATCTAGAAACCAAGCCGTCTCTCCTATGGAGCAACTGCTAATCTGCTTGCGTTTTTATGCAACCGGGAGCTTTTACATAACTATAGGAGACTTTTCGAATTTACATATGTCCACAATATGCCGAATCATTAGAAGGGTGACTCAAGCAATCGCATCGCTAAGACCACAATTTATTAAATTGCCATGTAATGCAGATATTTTAAAAATACAAGAAGAATTTTATGATATCGCACGATTCCCACGAGTAATTGCTGCCATGGATTGTACACATGTGCGGATAGTCTCTCCAGGTTAGTGTTGATGACTTTGAAATACATACTGTTTTATAGTATCTACTGATTTACGTATGCAGGTGGAAACACAGCTGAAAACTTCAGAAATAGAAAAGGATATTTTTCTATTAATGTTCAAGCTATGTGCACCGTCAAATTGAAATTTCAAAACATAGTCGCGAGATGGTCTACTCATGATTCCTTGATATTCTTGAATTCGTCTGCAAAATACGCATTTGACAGTGGAACTTTCGGCAGTGGACTGATTCTTGGAGATAGTAGATATTTTCTAAACAATAATTTGGTTACTCCCTTTGTTAATACCAGAACTCCAGCAGAACGCCTTTTCAATGAGTCACACATTAGAACAAGAAACGTCATTGAACGCTGCTTTGGGGTATGGAAACGACGATTTCCAGTTTTGAGTATTCGGATGAGGTGCCAAATTCCTTTGGTACAGGATACAATAGTTGCAACAGCTGTTATACATAATATTACAATTGATATGAAAGAAGATAAACCACCCGAAGACCCAGAAGTGAAGGTTTATCAGGAAGAACAAATAGAAACTTTAGACCCACTTATTGCAGACTCTGGAGATGTCAGAAACTTACTGTTAGAATACTTTGAATCTTTAATAACAATGTAAAACAACGCTAGACAATAGTTTTATATAGTTTAATGTACACTACCGGCAAAAAATTATAAACAATTTATCTTTAAAAGTTTTGGCCATTTATTTATTTTTTATTAGTTTTAATTTATTTTTCTTTTACGAAGATATAGTAATTGATACAACATATACCTATTTTCCGCCCATTACTACTCATTAATTTTAATATTTTTTAATTATCTCGGTAATTAAGGAACTGGATGATCTTGAAAATTTTTCATTTGAATATGGTGCAGCCCGCGAAGAAACGATAGCACCTCATCATTTCGATTAGTTTTAACTATTTTTGTTTGTTTAATGCTCATTATATGAAATGGTTGACACGAACTCGTAAAGAAATTTCTATACGAAAAATAAATAAAATTCTGAAACAGTTCTGCAAGAAATACTTCAAATAGCAGCATGAAAATTCATTGCTTTTTCGATTTTCTCTCGAAATTTCGTAAAAAAATCGAAGTGTGCATAGTTTATTTAATTTTAGAAAATTCGTCAAAAAAACGGATGAGGATTTGAGTGGTGCACTGTGTTATTTATTAAACTATATCTCATTAACTAACAAAAACCATGTAAATCCAAATTTTAAACTTTAAATTAAATTATGAAAATTCTACGACTTTTTCTTCTCAACTTTAAGCATGTTAATCAGAATTCCTAGAAATTTTTAGTATCCAGTTTTATAGCTTATTAAATTTTAGTAATAAAGTTGCTAAAAATTCCGTTGATTTTTGGTAATTTGTTTTCATGACGGTATCGCGCATTTTATTAAATACGACGTAATCTTTTATATGCTAAAATTATCAATAATGAGTTGTGCTTTAATAATAACACCAGAAAACAGATTTAAAAAAATGTAAAATTTTATCTTGAATCGGATTATGAAACAAAATTTCAAGAAAGTAGAACAATTCTTGAGATATAGCCAAATTGGTTTTGAAAAAAATTCGGTGTCCTAAATTGCAAATATCTTCGGAAGCAGTTAGCCTAAAGATTTCCTTTTATATTAGTGGATCTTATTAAATTTATTAACATCTATGCCAACAACATTTTCCAACTGGATTACTTTCGGTACCACAATCAATATGAAGAAATGTGTTCACTTCCGGTTTCTTTCTGGTACTTGAAAGTATAATCTTTTGTAAATATAATAAGACCCTGCTTATCTTAGTTTAATAACAAACGTAGAAGCTATGAGCACTTAAGTAGAAGGTTTTATAATTAAGTTTAAGGTTTTCATACAAATTTACGATCTAAAATTTTAGTCAAAGCTTGAACAATTAATGAAACCATAAATTTGTATGGAAAGTATTTGTGTGTCTTTCTACTTAAGTGTCCGTAACTCCTCCATTAATTATTAAATGTAGATATAATGGGTCTTATTGTATTTTCAAAATAGCATACTTTGAAGTACATGAAAAAAGCGGAAGTGAACACTTTGCACTTTGTTTCAGATCTCAAAAGACCGAAATTTTGATATATCTCTTAAACTTTCATAAAATTTCACTTCATATTCGGATTCAGTCAGAAAATTTCACATGGGAAATGATGATGATTAATAAATAAAATAAATGATCAAAAGACAAGTAGTCAAACCTGGGGAAAATATTAGGGTGTTATCTTTTGTTGCGGGCTGTAACAAAAAATTAGCAACATACCGTGGTAAAGGTAGTGTCTAATTTGGTTTGGTAATAAAAAATGCTGATGCTTTAACATTTAAGATTACAGGGAACATATCAATAAGAATACATACTTTCATATTCTCCTGACTCGACTTCAGCATTCGCTGGTTGTGGTAAGGTAAGTAATAGATATGAAAATGTGGAATTAAACAAGTAAGAAAGTCTAAGTTCGGGCGGAGCCGAACATTAAATACCCGGCGCAATTATTAAATATATGTTTTCCACCTTTCCGAAAGCTGCCGCTGCACGATAAGCCGGGGTGTATAAATTTTAAGTANAGGCGTGGTTATTGTCCGATTTCGCCCATTTTCAATACCGTCCGTCCTATGCACAAAAGAAGTCTACGTACCAAGTTTCGTTAAGATACCTCAATTTTTACTCGAGTTATCGTGTGCACAGACGGACGGACGGACGGACGGACGGACAGACAGTCACCGCATAATCGATTTCTCTTTTCATTCTGATCATTTATGTATACATTTGTCTATATCTATCTCGATTCGTTTTGCCTGTTACAAACAACCGTTATGTGAACAAAGTTATAATACCCTTGTGCACAAGTGCGCTCGGGTATAAAAATGCAACTTATGTGTATAATTTTGTACCATCAGACAGAAAGGTGTCGTCAACGACATATGTAACCAAATCCTCCGCTTGTTTTATATGTGGAGCTGAGACACTAATTCCATTAGTAACAATTCATTGAACAAAATGAGAGATAATTACCTTCAACGCCATCGGAGTCATGCCTGTTATGCAAACCATCTACGTTGGAAGACATAGCTAGTATTTGATTTTCCACATCTGAATATGGAATTTGGGAATAAGCCCCTCCACCAGTTCTATAAAGTTCCTGCCGATTTATGGCTACTTTGTTTTTCAATGTCTTTTTCAAGCTTTCATAATTTTAGAGTAGATGTCGAGCGTGCAGTTCCACCGGAGGATGAATTGAAGAGCTTTGCAACTTTTTCCCATGACGCTTCTTTCTCCTTATTGGTTACAGTGTCTGTCTTTTTGTTCTCCAATATATGCTTGTATTTTGCAGCAATTTCTGTTAATATTCGCACTTCTGTTTGAGTAAAATTGGCAGATCTTTGCCTTTTTCTCGCGACATTTTCAACAATTTCAATATTTTCAACAATTTCCATTTCTTCCATTTTACAATTGGCAGACTTGACAAAAAATAAGATTATACATACTTTTTTGACAATCACATTGAGCAATTAACCTGTTGTCCTTTTCTTTCACAAGGTGTTTCCAATATATTTTGTTCGTCCTCATTTTTTGATAACCATTCATGTTGCCACACTTCTGCAAATACAGAAGAATAGTTATCTACCACTTATCCCAAGAATGAAAAACTCAAAGTTTTTATTCAGTAGAATAAACGAGGAAATAAATTTATTCGTTGAATTGCTATCTGGAGAACAGGGACCGAACATAACAGTTATTGATGAAAACTGTCATGGAAAACTTCGCTATGAAGGAAATGTTCTACAACTAAGTGAAACATACCAATCGATTTCGTTTTGCACCGAGACTCAAATTTGAAAATAAATTTTTATTTGCAATTTTTATGCAAAATTTAAAAAAATAACAATTATATTTAATTTTTATATTAGAAATCCAAAATAACAATTATTTTTGATTTTTATATTATATGGCTTAGATAACAGTTATTGAAGAGTTTTATTTATAAAAGTCATCAATAAAAATCAGTCAGTGACTTTTACTTTTAAAAGTCATTAATATAAATCAGTGACCGACTTTTATTTTTTAAATCAATCGTATAAAAGTCATTAACATTTTTCGCAGTTAAGAAGGTGTTGGAAAACAAAAGTTTACTACGACTTATTCAAATGACTTTTATAAGTATGATTGAAAAAATAAAGATCAGTGACTGATTTTTATTTATGACTTTTATAAATAAAAGTCTTCGATAACTGTTATTTAAGACATATAATTTAAAAATCAAAAATAACTGTTATTTGCAGATTATTTAAATAAAAATCAAAAATAACTCTTATTTTCGATTTATAAAATAAAAGTCAGAAATAACGGTTATTTAAAGAGTAATTAAATAAAAATCAAAAAATAATTGTTAAAGAGTGATTTTTTTAATAAAAGTTGTAACTGTTACGGTCCCTGCTGGAGAATGTATCTGACAATTGAAAAACCGGCCCTTAATAATAATAATAAAACAAAAGTTAAACATCTTCGGCTAAGGATAAGGTCTATTTGAAATTTAAATACTAAATTAGTTGTAGTTGGTGTTGGTAGGGTGGAGATCAGACTAGTTATAGTTGATGCTTTCCATTTCCAGACAAGCGGTCAGGTACGAGCATGATTTTTAATTTCGACCAAACTCAAATACATTGTTTGTTGGTCCAAATAATGAGACACGTATTTTTTCTTTTGGCTCGGAAAAATTTTTCGGCCGAATTAAACGCGATTTTGTTTTTCAGGCAAAAATCGATTATTCGAATTGACAGTTGGAATTTTTTTTTTAAATGCCCATAACTTTGTCAAAATTTAATAGATTCCAACAATGTTTTTACTCAAATTTCAGTAATTCTTGTCACTTCAAGATAGAATGATACAATTATTGATTTTTATTATTTAAAATTTTTTATTTAACAATAAACAAAAAGTGCAAATTTTTTTTTAAATTTAATTTCTCAAAAAGTGTATTTTTTTTCTCTCAAACTTTTTTTTACCGGAAAAGAGACACTTTGAACTACAATCAAGCCAAATCTCTAATAGCGAAGATTTTTTTTTCTGAGTTATGATTTTTTATAGAAAATATAACTTTTTGTGGTACATACTACAATATTCTTATATTGTTTAACTAAATGGAACATATGTATGTAATATATAACAAAAAGTACAGCCGTGATCATTTTTTGTGTATCAAATAGATATTAGAACACACTTTCCACCATACAGTTTCGATTATAAAAAGCTGGAAAATGTGACTTTGTATTTCGAAACTGTATGGTGGAAAGTGTGTTCTAATATCTATTTGATACACAAAAAATGATCACGGCTGTACTTTTTGCTGATATATTACATACATATGTTCCATTTAGTTAAACAATATAAGAATATTGTAGTATGTACCACAAAAAGTTATATTTTCTATAAAAAATCATAACTCAGAAAAAAAAAATCTTCGCTATTAGAGATTTGGCTTGAAGAAAAAATACGTGTCTCATTATTTGGACCAACAAACAATGTATTTGAGTTTGGTCGAAATTAAATATCATGCTCGTACCTGACCGGTTGTCTGGAAATGGAAAGCATCAGTTATAAACTTAATGTTAAATTTAGTCAGTATGTGAATAAATATGGAATTTATAATGGATTGCTAATTGAAATCTACTTGGTCTGAAATCTTTTGATGATTGTTTAGGTAGGTACGAATGGGTTTCTAATAAACATCTTTAGAACCAAGGATGGGTGGGCATGGACAGACCTGTAAATTTCCCTGACGAGTCTGTGTTTTAGTTAAAACATTGGAATCAGCAATCCTACATTGGCTATTATTTCTTTGCCTCGTTATTTTCTAGGATAATCTCTCTCTGTGTGCATAATTTGAATTTATTCTTTAGAGCTGTTGGCATGGGACGAAAATCATACTGTTTTAGCGCTATAAGCGAACTCACTATGGCTGAAGCTGCGGGGTGGAAACATAGCCAGATGCACACAATACGTAGTTGCTAAACAAAATCGTGTGAGTCAAATTGAGCTGAGGTTCCCAATACATTTTTGGTAGATGGCCAGCGGTTTCATAACAGAATAAAATGGCGCCCAACGTGGGGCCACATAGCAATTACGAATAAGTTGTTTGGGGTTTGTACTATGTGGTTCTATCTTTTCAATCTAACTGACTGTGGTTCCTGGAAGTTAGATAGTAAAGACTATATGTCTAGCTACTTGCCTGTCACAAGATTTTAGCAAGATAATTTCTCTGAAAT